TATTCAATTGATGGCAAAGTTGAATTTTCTCCAGTCAGTCTTCAGTGTCACATGGTCCTTCAGAAATCATTCTAATATACTGATTTGGTGCTCAAGAAACATTTCTGATTATTATCAATGTTGAAAACAGTCGTGTTGCCTAATATTCTTTTGTGGAAACCGTGATTTTTTTATTTTTATTGAAGCGTTGCTGAATAGAAAGTTCATTGTATGCATTACTGCACACACAAATCCAGAAGATAAGCAAAGAACCAAACTGAACAATAAGTTGCTAATGCATTGATGTCCCTCTCTTTTGGATACTGACAGCTCGCTTGAGGAAACAGATGCATGTCTTTACTCATTTGCATTTTTTCTTCACCATAACAGCTCCCATCAGCCCTTGCGGTCCATGGGTAACCCACACATTGTGGTCCTAGAGAGGGCCTGTGTCTTTAGCATAAACAAAACACACTAAAATATTCAATTTAAAAAAACAAAAATACTGTCAGTAATATCCCTGCTAATATTTATTTCACCAAAATAATAATAATAAAGTGGGTCAGTGGTCTTGTTCACAGTCACTCCCACAGTTGTCACTCCAAAAACTGACATGCTATTATCGTGATGACAAAGCAATACAATATCAAGACAATATCAGCTTAAAATATCCTAAAAATTTGAGAGCATTGACTTTTATGACAACAACGGATCTCTTGTCTCATTTAATGTACACTTTTTACTGGCTACAGGTTGCCCATTATAATGGAAATTTCTGCATTTTTCATTATTTTCCATATTGTATATTCTCTATTTTCTATATGTTCTATTTCCACAGGTGTTGGCCTTCGGTTTTTTTCTCTGTGTGCATGGCTTAAACTTCTGTCAGCGTTCCTCTAACCGAGGAATGGCTATGACTGGTTGAAACTAGACTGAGAAATACTCAAAGATCAAAGTTGATCCTTGGACAGTCTTTATCAGTCTTTATCAGTATAAAAGACACTATACTGAATTGCCTTCTGCCTTTCTCACTACAGAACTTCTGTGTGTCAGATTCCTGAAAGAATTAAAGGGCCAATGACAAATCCTTTGACTGTTTTTTCACTCTCTGTTTTACATTTAGTACCAGATTCAGAACACCATGCAGTTAGTTTAGACTGTGTCAGAACACATTACACAGTCATGCAATTTAATGGCACGCAGAGTCTGTGATGTAAGGCAGTGACACCAATTAATGCAGGACTGGTGCTGTTCACAACAGGCCAATCAATACGTCTGTGACTACTACTTTCCTATAGCATGTACACACATCAAAGAGCAACCAGCACTTTATCTGATCAAACAGCAACTCTACACACAGACTTAGTGAAAGTGTGTGAACGTCTGTGTGAATGTCAGAAGAGTGATGAGGGGGTTTGTGTGTGTGTGTGTGTGTGTGTGTGTGTGTGTGCGTGTGTGTGACACAGAAAGAGATGATTAATGGGAGAGTCAGACTGATATCAGAGTTGTAATTATCAGCATAAAACAGGTCACAGCTTTAGCATACACACACACAATCACACAAATAGATACAAAGAGCCAGACACGCTAGCCAGAGCCACTCGCAATCAGCACTTTAACAGCAATTTAATAAGGGAGATAAAGAAAGATGGAGAGAGAGAGGGAAAGAAAAGAGATGGAGACTCAGAGAGTGAACATACGAGTCGGTTGATGCGAACGAACTCCTCAGGACTCTTGGCCCAGAGCGGCAGCTCCACATCTGACACCACCGTCCCATCATCCATCACTCCCAGGTTGTAATTATTGGAGTTGACAAACATCTCAGGGAGGTAATAGAACTCAGGGATCAGCTCCTGTGAGAGAGAAAGGAAAAAAGGCTTTTTAACGACAAATTTCACATTATTATTATTACTGATGAAATAATTATATTAGGGCTGGCAATCAATTTAAATATTCAATCTTAATTAATCTCACAGGTTTTTTTTTGGTATCTGATGTGTTAACAAGTGCGTTCCTTTTTAAAGAAAGAAAACTAAATAAAATGTATCAATGTATAATATGTGTATAGAAAAATGCAAACCTACTACGCAACAGATATCACAAATAAATGAAAAATCACTCTGTGGCAGACTTAGACTCAAAAGCCGGCATCACATTTGCCAAATGTCAAAAATATGTGAATAAAATTAGCAGAATGATTTGTAAAATGTAATAAATGTGCAAATGCCATTTAAAAAATGATAATTAATGAATAAATTGCATCCATTAACACAGTGATTTTGACATCCCTAAATTAGATATATTTGACAATCAAAAATAATTATTCAACAATGACATTCAATTATTCTTTCCAAACAGGAAAGTAAACAAGAAAACAAAGCTGACTATTGTGCAAAGCAGATGCATTTCTAAACATACTAGATACCTATACAATATAACAGCTCATTAAATGGGAATCAGGACTTGAGGAATCAGTTATTCCTTCTTTGAATCTTTAGCCTTTAATCTGTGCCACGCTGCCACTCTGAGTGAGGGATGCAGTTGGAGCTACTCCAGTTTAATATGCAAAGAAAGAGCAACTGCATGTCATCCTGATAACGAACATCCAAACAGCAGTGCAGAGGCTGCAGTCAAAGCACAGAAGAGAGGACTAAATCTCTTTCTTCCTTTATAAAATGCATGGGCATCACTTTGTTTTAAAAGTTGTAATAATGGGATTTTTAAATCTCATTACACAGTGTTTGGAGGGAACAATCATTCTTGCTGATCAATTCAAGTGCTCAAATGTGACATTTAATTCGATAACTTTATTCCAATATCGGACCCTGTCAATCTCAGGATTTTGCAGGTCAGTGGATAAATCCACAGATGAGCAAATTAATTAAATATGACATTTTGGTTTAATGGTAAAGCATTTTTTTCCCATTCCTGTAATGCAATCTAACTTGTACACTCGAAATGCCTGTATTCCTATAAAAGGGTATGCTATTAAAGTATTTCTATAAAAGGGTTACCTGCTTTCTGAAATCTGCTCTGGTCAAGCTCATGCACTTACACTATTAATTATAGCATGATTTTTTAAGACAAACTGGATTTTGAACAACAAAGAAACAAAGAGTTAAATTTGTTTCAATTAAGAGGAATAAAACTTTGGGTCTAAACGTACAAATATCAGCCATCAAATTAAAAGAGTTAACTTGTACTTGGAATTGGCCTGAATTTCTGTTTCAGTCCATCCATACTTTCATCTGTCTCTCTGCATCTTATTATATTTTGCACCTATTCATTCACACACAATTACCTACACACACCCTCAGTGGAAGTGATAAGTTTGTCCTAGGAGGAAAAGCATGCTCTTGCTCTCCAGAAACATGAGTCCTTTGGGAGAACCATCTAAATGACAATCTATCACTCACTTTGTAGTCATAAACCAATCAAGTTCTGTCTCACAACAGTTTTCTGTGATAGGTCCATTCCAAAGCTAAGTAAAAACCACATGGTTAATGCTTCTGTGTAGAACATTTATGTCTAAATTTAAACATCCATATAAAAATTAAACTGTACATATTTAATGTAACACGGCACTCAAATTTAAGATCTATATGTGTATTGTGTGCATTGCGAGTGGCCAATTAGGTGAGCAAACAAATGATGGAAGGTTCAAAACCAGCCTTCTGCCTCACTTCTTTCTGGTCCTCTCTTTAAAACCGAAGTCTTTAAAACAAAAAGGTCACGACTTTACAATGGCACCAGGCGCCCTGAGGTTCATGTATGGAGCCTGGCGTAAATTTGGCATCTTCATTGGCGGCACAAAGACCCAGAGCCACTTAACCAATGGTTGGGGGGGGGGGGCGCAGTTCGGGAGGGCCGCAGTTCGGGAGAAGCTATTATGTGCAATGGCCCTTGAGCAGAACTGGTCAGAGGGCAAAACCTGTGATCCAAAGTCCTGTCCTGCTGCGGGTCAATAGAGAGGGGTGCCCCTGGGACCCGTCTTAGGTCCTCTCTGATTCCCCTAAGGGGAAACTTTCAGTATCCACACTGCTTTCAGCCTTTTGCACGGGGGTCAGGTGATAGAGGTTAAAGGTCAGGCCAGAGTTTGCCTGACTAGAGACAGACAGGATCAGGGTTGCTTTAGGCCATTATAGCTCTCTTTTGCCTGGACACAAAAACTGCTAAAGGCTTTTCACCCCTCGGTAGAATGGGGGAGTGTTTCTAAACGTGGGGGGACTGCTGTGCTTTTTGTTTTTTTAAGAAAAAGGGATAACAGCATGGCAAATTGATACATTATTACATTTGAAGGCACTTCTTTGCTTCTCATTTGCACCTATCAGACCTTTTTGGCAAGGTTGAGCATGTTTGAAATGTTCCACAGCTTCAAAGTCAAATAAACTGAAGGTGATTTCCAGGTTTTTAGTCAAGTCCTCCATTCGGTTTTGATGCACGCCAATCCTGTTACGCTGATCCACAGTGACAAGCGTACGCAGAAACCAAACTGGGCTTTCGGTATCAAGTGTGACCATGTAAGTGTGAGCCACATGTCTTATTACCAAATGAGCCCCTGAAAAATGAAAGCATGCAACGAGCATGCTAACAAAATGGCTGTCTGTTGTAATGGATATTTCAAGAGGTCTGGACATTTGTTAAAGTCAATGCCGAACACTCTGAAGGGTCTCTGAGGGGCTATGGTGAGCATTTGAGATTGCTGTCTGACTTTGGTTTGGGGCCGAACGACAAAAGGTTCAACTGAGGGTTAGAGAGTTGTGAAAGGTTTCGCAAGAGAGAGTGTAAGGGAGGAAAGGGGGGAAAGTTCGAAATCAAGATTAGTTTAAAGCTTTGATCAAGGACCCTTGACACTTTCATGGTAGCATGACAAGGATTGGTTGTGACCGTACATGTGCTAGGGCCAGTTTTTATGGGGAGGTGATGGGGGCAGCCGGGCTGTGGTGTCTCCATGACGACTGCCCTCACACCAAGTCCCAGCGAGCTCCGGTTACCAAGAGGAAGTCAACTCACTACAGAAACGTCTAATCATGTAATAGCCTCCACATTTGTGAAAAACTAAATATCAGTGGAAGGCGAAAACCAAATCCAGGCCAGGGACAGACTGATGCCTGATCGAGAAGAAATAAGCACAAGTACAGCTTTGTGCATGTGTATAAATATGGATGCATAACAATAAATTAAAAATAAGTAGCATTTCTATGTTAGAATGACTCAGAAAGCATTTCTGAGTGTCATGCACATATGTTGACGTACCTTCACATCAGACGTGTCCCTCTGGCAGTTTCTCCAGGCTCTGGACACTGAGGAGAAAGTGCGATCTGCGTGGTCAAATTTCCCACCTTGGAAATTCAGGAAGAATGTCGTGAAAGGCTCCTGAGAATAAAAAAGAACGCAGAAAATAAGGAATGTCCACACACACGTTCACGCTAAAACGAGTATTAAAAAGTCATGTTAGGAGCTAAAACAACTACAGGGCAAATTCCAATGAACAAAGATCATGTATTTAATAACTACGAGCCTACTTTGATCAGTCTTTAGCCTGTAATCTGAACGATTTTTCAATACGTGCAACCCGGTAAGTTTCTCTTATTTAGCATCGATGCCTGCTGTTCATAACAAAGCCTTATACAATATGATTCTAATTTGTGTGCACTAAATGACATCCTCTTCCCCAAAAGAGGGACCTGAATGCTAAAGAAACCTGTTATTAACCCCGGGCAGACACTAAAGCCTTTACAAGTGCATTATTTGTTATTTTCTAATCATGCTTAATCTTGTTTGTGCAGAATCAATAGGTGGTTCTTTTGAAACAATACCTCCCCGATGAGAAGGATGCAATTAGAGTGAATAGCACCACAGTAAGCTTCACCATGAAAGAAAGATACCCTAATTACGCAGAGGCTTTTGGGTGCTTGACTGAATTTAACACCCTCCTTTTCTCTGTCAAGAGCCTCGATATCACAAGGTTGCTGATTTGTGTTATGGTACATGAATTAGGGTGTTTGGTGAAGTGGATTTGGGATAAGCCTGATAATAATGGGATGGGATCAATACAATGGGCCAACAGGGAATGGCTATGAAAGTGAAAAACCGTAACAATTACAGTGACGGCCAGGAATAGGTTAGTGACCTCTAGCGCTCTCTCTCTTGGTGTGTAGAATATGTGAATACACTAAACATTAAAAATAAAGTTGAAAATAAACACAGAACTAATTTAAATCTAAAACAACTGACATTGTACAAAGGCTTTGAGAGCTGCAGAGGATTATGAGACATTATAACTGTAAAACGAATACAGAACTGGTTATATTGAACAAAACTACGCTTCATCAAAATACTGTTATAAAGCATATGAAGTATTTTTCCTCCGGAGTGTCACGTCTATGTGGAATATTAGAACACAAAGGATGAAGGGAAGATGAGCGATGTGTTGTGTGTTTGTTAGTATGCAGATAAGGCCTACATTTCAATATAACAATAAATCAACCTGACTGAGCACGCACACATGCCCAATTATAAACAACAATTAGTTGCAATGTGCTTCACAACAGATCACATGATGAATGTGTAGCATTTTGACGCAGCGTGAAGAGCACAGAGCCGCTGTCTGTTTAAAAACCCTTTAAAAGTGGCAAATCATTTGGACAATTATGACCATGTCCCGTTTATTTGTCCTATATAAACAGACGTTAAAGAAAGTGAAATAACGCACTGACAAATGGCACGCTGACAGGCTTTTCTATTCTGATGCCATAAAAATGATTTAAAAACTGGTGCTGGAGCATTTTGGTGTTAATCACATTTCCGTGTTACAGTGTGACACTTGTGTGTGTATGTGCAACTTACAATCCTCAGTAGCCACATCTGAGTAAAGCTGGAGGTGGAATAGTGCGTGCCGTAGTGGAATTTGGGCACCTGCTCATCCTCCCATGATTCAAAGCGTTCAGAGAAGAATGCAGCCCTCTTTGGGTTGAGTGCACCAATGGGCTGTAATGAGAAAGGACAACATTATTGGAATAAACATAAAACTGCATTAATAAAGCACAAATGTTCAAGAACCAAAGCAATAAATTATTAAGTTAGATGTCAGAACAAGGACCACAGGTGTTACATCTGGGAAAAGTAATAATTTATTAATGCTAATCATTTATTTAAATAATAATTTAGTGCAGCTGCAAAGTTTCATCAATAATAGACTGTTATTTTAAAGAGATTCAACAGTCTGTTTTCTGTAGTTGTGAATAAACATAAAAGCTCACAAATCACAAAATAATTGTTTATTTACACAACGGTTCAAAAGTTTGGGGTCGGTAAGATTTTTTAAATGTTTTTAAACTCACCAAGGCTCCATTTATTTGATCGTTAACAACAGTATTATTGTTGAATATCATTACAATTTAAAATAATGTTTTCTATTTTAATACATTTAAAAAAGTAATTTATTCTTGTGCTCAAAGCTGAATTTTCAGTATCATTACTCCAGTGTCACATGATCCTTCAGAAATAATTCTAATATATTTATTTGGTCCCCAAGAAACAATATCAATGTTGAAAACAGTTATGCTGCTTAATATTATGGAAACATTGGTACTTTTTTTCTCAAGATTCAGTGAATGACAAATATAAAGTTCCAAAGAACAGCATTTATTTGAAATATAAATCTTATAGCTTTTATAAATCAGTAAATGCTTTTACTGTCACTTTTTATTAATTTAATTAATCCTTGCTGAATAAAATAATAAAAAAAATAATACAATCATAAAGGTGTTTATCAACAAACAAAAGTCGGCAAACCATAGGCTCCAAAAATGCAAAACAATTTAATAATGGACTTCACACAAGGGAACGTTTTGCGCTTCTTCTTTGTCTAGCACCCAATTTTGAGCATTTTTTGCTGTTGATGTACGCGCTTTGGTTCAGTTTTTAATGGTGTTAAACATTAATAGCAAAAGGAAAGTAATGCAGGGGAGTTCATATGAGAGCTCATATGGTTAATACTATCTTGCCCTGCATTGGGTTTTATCAAAGCATTGATTAGCTGCTTTAATTCTTCATTGATCTGAAGATGGAAGCGTATGCAAGCAAGTCATTATTTACAGTAAATGCTCATGTATATGTATTGGTATTACCCTGCTGAGTCTTTATTACTCTTGAACTAAAGCTTTCTGTCTGTCTCTCATACCTTAGTATGATCAATAGTAAGGGAATGATGGAGTTCCTTGAAATAAGAGTGGGCAGGACAGATCGACCATGTCCCTCTCATATCATAGCTGTGTAATGAGGGTCCTCTGCTGCTTTTCTATTGATCACAATGGTGCAAGCACAATATGGGTGATTGTATCTTTTAATGTTCCGCTGTGCTTGTGTGTTTATGTGTGCCTGCATTAATGTGAGATTTAACACTGTGCAAGAAGGCCAAGGGCTGTGGTGCTCACCTAAAAATAGAGCTTAATTATATTCCACTAGTTCTAATATAATCGTGATTAAACTATGTCTTGGATTTAATTGAGATTTAAAAAGGAGAGCTGTTTAATCAACGTTTGATTGTAAATCACTAAAGCTTGTAGAATTGTCACTGAAATGTAATAGACTTATGCTGAATGCGTTCTGTGTGTGTGTGTGTGTCTGTGTGTGTCCGTGTGTGTGTGTCTGTCTGTGTGTGTGTCTGTGTCTCTGCTCTCTTGTGGCAACTACGGTGAGAACACACACTGAATTAAACATTGTGCGATTTAACTGATTGATTGCAGTAATAACAGGACCCTCATTAAAGAAAGAAAGGGGAGAGCAGGATAAAAAACATCTCTGTCATAGCTCAGTGTGTGTGTTTCTATGTGAACGTGTAAATTTGTGTGCATGTATATCAGTGTGTGTGTGTGTGTGTGTGTGCGTGTGCGAACCCCTCGTGTTGTTTACGGCAGTAAATTACGGTCGGAGGCGCTCCAGTACAATAGGGTCTCGTGACAGTGTCGTTCATCAGGGTTATCCCTGTACCACAGCGCGGTGTGATGGAGTGAACGCACACCACCGACCCTAATACGCTCTGGCAGCACTGCTGAATATTTCTCTAGTGACGGATCAAATAAATGAGCTGCCCCAATGTTTTTAATTAGACTGCAAATCTGAACAGACTGCCGGTAGCTATCAGTATCAGCACTTCACCGTGCGGCTCAAAATTCAGGGTTTCTGAGGGGGGAATTCATGAATTGCGCCTGATAGATTTTTTTATTTGCACACGATTCACGAATTATAGAAATCTCAAACATGCTCAAATAATTCTGTGCTGGACACAATTTGCATTCACCACTGTCATCTAGGCACCTGAATTGGCTCTTTAAATGCAGAAAGTGTGCTTGACTAGACAGTGACTTAATTTAAGTCCTGAATAAGACCTAATTTTTTTGTTTTTTTTGCACTGAAACACAGAAAGCAAAAGCGGTGCAATGTAATTTATTACTAAAAGAACTAATACACTATGCTAAATGACTAAATATCATATAAGGAACTATTTGAAATCTACTTTCTCAATAAAATATATCTCTGAGTGAGTGAATGAATAAATGAAACTCTGGCATCAGAATTAGGAAGTGTCTGAAGCTGAAGCATGCATTCCAGAAGGTGTGAATGCGTATCTAGGGCTCAGTTGAAAGGATGTAAATGACGTGATGCAGGGCGAATCAATTTGCCATTAACCACATCATAGTGAGGGTGGAGATACAGGTCAATACATTTGGCGTTACCTTTGTTAATGTACAAATATAATAATATGCTTTAGTCAGGATGCCTTTTAACTGTCACTGCACTAGTATAGGATGTCCCCATCATATATTTCTTAATATACTAATATAAAATCACAATATTACAATTAAAGTCAGCATGAAATGGAAATTCAGTGTTTTCTAAATGCATCTTACTGATCTAATCGATTCATCCATGCATATGTTTAAATTGTTAACTTTTTTTGAGCTTGTAATTTTTAATCAAACGGTCATAGCTCGATCTTCCGGTTAAATGACAGACATTTGCTGACATATTCTCCAATTATTTACTCCACTTAAACCCACCTTTTCTTAGAATCGACTGCAAGCTCATGTTCAGATCTGCCTCCATCCAAACCAACAACCAATAGATAGAAAACTGCCCTACATTTTTTTATTTTTTGATAATCTGTTTTACTCCGATGTACATCATAATACGTAAGAAAATGTGCCGCCAGTTCCATTACATCGTGACTTTAAGTGAACATGAAAGTAATTTTTGTTGCCATTTACAGTGTCTCCACTTATATTTATTTTAACAATTTACAATTTAAGTAATATTTGAGTTATTTTTTTCCCTTTCAAACCTTTCAACGTATAAGTTTCTGTTCTGTTCTCAAATTCCATCCTGTTACTCTTTTGTAAAATTAACCTAGCTAAAAAAAAAGCCAGTTTCTTAATGACAATATTGTCCAGGAAGTGTAGAAAAGCTACAGCACATCAATAAAAATTAATACAGCAGATTCGCGCTCTCTACCTGACCTGTGTGCGTGTCTCTGTCGTAATCCTATTACGATATTGATGCACTGTGATATGTATTGCAGTGTAGTATAAAAGATACAGAAGAATGAAAAGAAACATAACTGATCAACACACTTGTGTCAAATGAGACACATAAGAAGCAAAAACCTATTTTGGCTCACTCAGTTGAGTCAGTTTTGTTGTTTCTGGCTGCAGTGATAACTCTGGCTGCACCAGATGTCACGAAGAGGTTAGAGTTTATGATAAGAAAGCCAGCGGGGTCATAACGATGAGACAAAAGGAACATAAATTCATGAAGCACATTCCTCTGCCCGCAGGGAAGACAGTGCGTGTGACACGGCGTCTATGGCAATTTCACCTCGCTGTGTAAAAGGTCCCACATGACCTGCTTCTATCAAAGCAGTGCTGGGACGTGGCATACGCAGACGACAAGAGAGAGCAGGAGGGGTTAAGGACAAAAAGAGAAAGACACACAGCGTATACAAGGTTCAGATGGCCTTCGCAGGCGAGACGGTGTTGTCATGGTCCACCGCTCATACACTGATATTGCCTGTGTCAACAGCATGAATAAAGCAGTTGTAATAAAGATTGTTGAGATTTGCTTTTGCTGGCTGCAGAGGGAGGGGCTGCTCTCGCTCGGCCTCCGTTTCTCCCTGAGGCTTGAAAGCTTGACTGAACATAAAGGCAAGGCTGTCAAAATTAGAGAGAGAGAGAGTTTGAGGGAGGGAGGGATGGAAAGAGAGAGAGACAAAGGCGAGGGTGATGCAGGATGGTGTATAGGACTGTTGTCTTTTAACCGAGTGGGCGGAAGCCATTGCAAAGAAACAGAACGGGGCTGAACAAATTAATAAATAAATAAAGAGATATGCTGCAAGCTGTGTGTAAGTGTCTGTAGTGAAGGAAAGATAACTGTCTACAAGCTGAAAACTATATATATATATATATATATACATACATATATATACACTGTATATGTGCATTGCATGTGTATAGATGCTTTGCATGATTTGACTGACAGCCTTAATTTTTACTATAACATTATAATTGGCTCTGTACTTGTACTCTGCAAAATGACAATAAAGTTGAATCTAATCTCATCTAATCTAAGCATGTCACTGCGTCTGTGAATATTTTTGAGTGACGAAACTCAAAAATAACTCAATAGTAAAGATCTGGTAAATTGTGACATTTTTTGAAACTGACAGTTTGAAATAATTGATATACAATACTGCACTGTTACTGAGGTTTAAATCAGAGACGTTATTAAAAGACTTACTTATTGCTCTCATACTTGCAAATCATGAAACAGAAAATCCAAAAAAAGACCCTTTGTCTTTAGGAACTTTAAGTTAATTGTCAATTACAAATTACATTAAAACAATGCATATTTTATCCTGTCAGCTAGACTATACTGAAATTATTGTAATTATATCCAATACTTATTAACCTGACCTACTCTGTCTGTACCTGAAAGAAACATGCTGTTTGCCGAATCAGAATTGGTAAAACACAGACATTTCTTTGCTAAAGGCAGTGCAGTAGATACAGATAGCATCATGCATATAAATCTGCACTGGAGAGCAATATGTGAGAAATCGTCTCAGTTTGAAGACAGTAAGGGTGACTTCTGCAACCTCATGATTCTTTCTGCACAGGAATTCATCTTCCATTATCTCTCAGTCCTTTGTTTTCCTGCCTGTTAGAACTGATTTATTCTGCCATTTTGGGTCAGAGTGGACACTCGTTTGATCATCTGAGCTCTAAAAGTAATCCTCTGTCCTCCCTCCATTGGTCACCATTACATGAAACGGATGGTCATTTTTGAGGCAGTGACTGGCAAGCTTTCACAAGCACTTTTAAAGTGAAGTTTAAGGGTGGAGGCGTTTTAAAACGCAACTTTTGTCGTGCAACTCAATTACCCAAATGGTGCAATGCGAGTAAAGAGCATTCTTTTGGAGGAGTGCCCCCCAGCTCCCTGACATGAAATATTCATCCAGTCTAGACTGAGAAAGGAGCTCTTCAAGATGGTTTTGAGATACAAACATAAGTGATTTATGATTTAAATAAAATGGACAGGACAGATAGGACGGAATATCAGAACTAGCATGTTCTTCCTTCTGACTAATCCTGGTTAATCACTGTCACTTCAGCGAAACAGCTATTAGTAGTTGACACAACAACCGACTGCAATTAAAGACCAAGGCATCAGAACCACAAGTGTTTGAGTCCGAGTCCTGATTTAAGAGAATAAAAGAGCCTCGTTCGCAAAGCTCTAATATGGATTATAGGTAAAGTCAGCGACCGTTGAAATATGCCATGCTATAATGTAAGACTCTAAATATCTAATCATTATATTTATGTTGACATGTTTCATATACATGTTTTATAGGGCTGGGTTTTGACACAAATTTCATAATTCGATTCAAGTATACTTCACAAGCTTGCGATTCGATTAGATTCCGATTCGATTCGATATTGATTATTTTGGATATATATCAGGTACAGGACATGGCAAGTTTTCTCAAGGGAAAAAAAAACCTCTCAACTAATGCTGTAAAATATGCCTGAGAGTCAATAATATGGAAGGTTGAAATTTTCTGATTTAAACACTTAAAATATACTCAATAAAGTTTTTGTAATATTAAAGTTATAATACTAACTTTAAATACATGAGACAGGATACGTGTTTCGGTAAGTTGTACTCATACCTTCAGATGTTCATTCATGTTTATTTCATGCTGTAACTGCTATTAAAGCGGAGGAGACGATCTGTCACTCCACATTAAACAGCGCCAAAAAGGCATTTAATATTTGAATATTGTAATAAAATGGACAGCATTTGAAATCTGAGACTTTGTTTCATATCAAAAGTAACAAAACGCTTATTGCACTTTATTGGATGGGAGGTGTGCTACAATGTTCCGTTCATTATCTGACAGACGATAAAAATGAGAATCGAGAAATCAATATTTTTTACCCAGCTCTAATGTTTTATACAGTATTTAAACCCTGAGCACACACTGAACATCTGGGATACAAAAATATTTAACCTCCTGGGGTCGACAGTTCCGGCGGCGGAACTTTTTGCAGATTTGAATGATGACAGCGAAAAGAACTAAAATGCTCCTTCATACTTGACCGTACATATAAGATTATTGTAGCCCAGTTTGTGCTGATTACAGTGTTATTAAACTTTAGACATTCAAATGTTTGTAAGCAACTGAAAAAAGCACAAATGTCAGGGCATGTCAAAACTTTTCCAGGCCCCAAAACACCCTCGGACCCCAGAGGGTTAAACCTGGAAATTAAATGAAGATTTCAAATTTTAAAAAAAAAAAAGTTATGACACTATATGATGAATAAAAAATATTTAAAATGCTGCACTGTTACAAAAACTGCATTAAATGTATAAAGCGAGAGCCTGAGAGAGACAAAGGCAGGTCTGGTGTTCCCAGCAGTGAGCTGTGTCAGTCTGTCCGTGTGTTTAGCTCAAGTACTACTACGCTCATTAATTAGCTCCTTAGGGAGGCTGGCTGGCTAACGGGAAATGGGGGAGGAGGTGAAGACGGGATGTAGGGGTTGATTGAGGGGAGGACGAGAGACTCAGGCCCATTATCTGACTTGTCTGCATGGCATGTTTCACACAAATACTCCCATGTATTCGGGTTTTCGAAACTTCTCTTCAGACATGTCCTTCAGTCTCTGAACCTACAGGAGCTCTTTGAGGCTCAGACTGTTTGTGTGAGTGTATGTGGTCATGTGTTTACCTTGGACAGATCTCTGTAGTTGCTGGGGAGAGTGAGGTCGAGATCTTCGCTGTCGTAGTTGGTGATTACCCAGGGGAACACAGGATACTGGTTCAGATCGTTAAACGTACGGCCTGAAACACAAGAAGTGTCGAGACTCCTCACACCTTTATTACCATTATCATGATCTTACTTCATCATCATCATGTTCATTATAAATACAAGGGGTCTCGCATAAAGAAACACAGTTACTGAAGAAACAGTGACTACAGGGAGCAGAAGACAACTATTATTTTTTTGTTTCAAATATGTGGCCCCTTTAGTATTAGTTCAAATAACTTTCCAAACTCTGTGACGAGATTCCAGTCGTAGCGCTTTGGTTCAACGAGGTGTCAGTGTGGCCCAACATAGCAAAAAATAAAAGGTAGGTCACCAACAAAGTAGGACAGACACTCAGATTAACATGGAAGAGAGAGATTTTGTGGCTTGTTGTGTCACACAGAAGTGTACATCAGTACATTCAGCTTCATCAGTCCATTCAGTGTTCAGTTTTTACCAGAGATGGTGTTGAGGAACATAAGGTACTCAAAGTTGGAGATCTCTCGTCTTTGCCAGCGCTGGGTCAAGTTGGAGGCCTTGTAGAGCTGTTTCGGACTGGCCAGAGAAATCCGTCTGTCAGAAAAAGACAAACCACATTCAGAAATTCGGTAACCTGAAATGCTCAATTGATTTGCAATATGCTATTTAATGTGCCATTTCAAATAGAAGCACTTTTTGTTTACAGTATATTTTGTAAATTAAGAAATATGCATAATGGGGAAAAAAAATTTGTACAGAGTATGGCGTAAGCCACATGTAAATTGGGTGAAAATACAGTGAGATAGTAAGAGCTGTTCCAGTTATCTGTTGACTCATTTCTTTAGCACTCGGACAGAGAAAAGCTCTTTAGTTTCAGCATCTGTCCAATTTCACAACATCACAATTTTTGAATCCTGCAGTTTCAATATTCACAGGCTTACAAACAAAATAGTGCAGAGTAATTGTGTCAGTCTACCTAGGCTCACTGATACGTGCCTCTACCTACATTCCTGCAAAACTCAAAAAAACTTACCTATACACACAACTCGCTGCAGTTTCCAGTTGAAATTAACACTAGAGGCAGTAAAACTCTGACAACTCTTATTCCTTTTCACACAAAGTATGATTTACAGGGCCAGAGTTTTGATTAAGAAGGCCTAATTTTCTCACAATTTTCACAATATTACGTTATGACTTCAAAACAATTTTAACATGCTGTGAGAATTGAAAACTGATACTTTTGAACGCGTCACATATCCAGCTTCATATGTATGGGTTTTCTAACACAGTATAGGTTTGCTCAGTAGCTCACTCGATACGGTGTTTCACTTGTGAGGTGAAGAGCTCTGGTACGAATCCTGTGAAACTACGGTTCGACAAAACAGCTCAAACCCTCGTATAAGGAAGTTAAAACAGCACGACTGCATCAGCGAATGGGTTTTATATCACTTTTGCTTTCGTTAACACTATCGGGAAGGTTTAGGGTTAGGTTTGAACCAACATAATAAAAACGTGGCCACGGTCACATACTGACCGTGCCTTTTAGTGCCAATCACTGGACATTTACTTTGAAACTGCCGTGAAATGTGCAATAAGGTACGTAATATCGGTGTTGCAGAAACGTTGCACAAGCATGTATTTCCAATGAGCCTGGGTTGAAAAATAAGGCTGTGTATTTAAAAGTGCCAAGTGCTTTAATACAACATTTGTATAAAAAATAGACACAATATGATTAGCCATTTTGTTCATTTTTGCTTTGATGAAAATACTTCCATGAGAAGCCAATATTCAAATTCTGTGAAGCAAACACAGACAAGAAGACTGACACAAGCGGTGAAACATTCCAGTACCGTTATAGGAAATACCACTCGGCCAGTCCGATTCAATGACAGCAACTCAGAATATAACCTACATCCAAATCCAGACATGAACACAGACACACAGCGGCCTCATGGGTAATGTGGGAACCTGTTAAATGAACATGCTCAGTGCAAGCAAATACGCGGACACTAAAACAAATTACTCTCCAATCCAATTAAAACAAAGCGAAATTAGAGAATTCATCACTGTCACCCAGCGTGTTTACAGTCATTAGGCCTCTCTGAAGTTTCCAATGCCCTTTGCCCCTCCTAACACAGAGGCAAGGCAGTCACGACGCTAAGGAAATGCCACACGAATGTTAGCAGAAAGACATGGCAGGAGAGGGCTGTCTGTAATGGTCAAACCTCTCTGCCCTGTGTGGAATCAATATTCACTAGATTCTGTTACCCACATTGTTGTTTTAGTTACTTAATTTCAAAGAACTTTTACTTTTAATAAGAACACTGATTTAGAGGGATATTGTGATGGAGTTTCACTTATCTAAATCATCTTTTGTTTGGCTGAACTACAGCAGCAGCAGCAGTGTGTGTTTCCCGTGTTTCCAGTCTGCCCCGCAGGCTCTGCTCTCGCCCCTGTATTTATTTCTCAGTTGGGGAGATAAATAAATGATGTGAATTGTGTTTGTGTGAACGTAATTAGGCAGTGTTACAGACACCCCTGACACCACACACACATTAACACACACACAAACCAGCAGTGTTAGGCCAGAAACATGTTTTACGGAAGTGAATGCTTAGCCAAAAGAGCTAAGAGCTATGGCAGACTTCAAATCACACACTTCTGCACAAGTGCAAGTGTCATTGAGATGAATGGAAATGCTAACGGATAGCTTTATTCTAGATTTCAAATAGGAGGGAAAAGGAGTTTTTACTTCTGTAAATGAACGGTGCACATGAGATAGAGAACATGCCTGGTCTGAGGAAGGCCGAAATTCGTGCCGACTCCAACTCTGGGGAGACAGTGCACCACCTTTTTCACTGTGGCTGCATCTGGGAAGTTGAACATGACTGCCGCTGTAAGGAGAAAAGAAAATTTATTATACACTTTATGCACTAGGTGTAAATAAGCATCATTTTTGTTGAACTGTTTTAAAGAGTCATGTGAAAAACTTACATTTTTCATTACTTATTTTACGATTTTTTAAATTATCAATTAAAATGCCAATTATATTTTATATATTATTACCCCATGTCTATTTTTCCCTCTAAGGTTGACTCAACATTAGAGGGAAAAATTGTTAAATGATCTTTTTAGAACTGAAATTTTGAAACATGTTTTCTATAGTATAATGATCTCCTCAAAAACTGAACCCTTTTGAGACTTTCCAGAACAGCAGCGGCTCAGAGCTTACTTCTGTTGGCCATGAAGACCTCCAGCGCTGTATTCTGTAGCAGATAGCGGCGAGAGAAAACTGCCCTGATCTCTGTGAACTGCCATTTCCCATGCAGACCCTCTGTGTAGGCCAAAATCTGTTCAGGAGAGACAACGAGAAAAACGACTGATCAAAGAGAAATGCAAAAACTGAGGGGATATGAGTGAGAAAGCAGCAGGGAAGGTTTCAGTTCATTTATCACCCATAGCTCATGGCCAGGGTCTCAGAGCAGGATTAATGTGTATTATTGATCAGTCCTCATGAAAAAGAGATGCTTTAAGCGCTAAAATGAGCCCCATTCAGACACACACTGAAGAGGTGCAGGAAGGCCACAGTTCACTAAAAGGTAATCAAGAGAACTGGAAATCTATCAGTACTTGCCCTTCAAGTTGGTGTGAGCGAAACATGTGCCAAATCATGTGCCACTGCTGCACAACCATCACATTTTTATTATTAAAAAAACAAACAAGAAATGCTGAAAACAACTTTTTGGAAAGTGAACAGAAAACAAATTCTTAGAAAAAATGCACCATTTTTAAATCTAGGGATTGTATACAGAAGAGTTTTCATACACATTTAATAATAACAACAATAATAATAATAAAAAAAATAGCTGCAGATTATTTGGATAAGAGACACTGGAATCTTCAAAAGTGGAGATGTGGATCAAAGATATGTCAGATAACGGGAAAAAACTATGCAAATCTAAATGCAAATACAGTTCTATAAAAATGTAATTTGACAAATTATAAAATATTTGTATTATATTTTATCAATTCATTTACATAAAACAAACAAATAAACCAATAAATAAATAAAAGCAACTAACAATATAATGGTGCATAGGTAACAAAACAAATACGCAAATATGCTTAAGAAAAGGAAGGACAATGCACTTCATATTTTTCACTGCTGATGACAAACACTGCAATACTATGATGCAAATGTGTGTGTCCTTTGGTAGAAGCCACCAAATTAGGCTTCTGATGATGGCAGGTTTCCCTGATCCTGCAAAATGACGATATTCTTGAGACAAACCGAGAAAGACGATTTTAGCATCATTTTGCATTTACAGATGCTCAGCTGTCACAAACACTCTAGTCTTAAGATTCTGCCTATCTGTTGCTTTTCCTCCATATGCTCACTGTTTCCTCACATTTCTAATTTAGCTTAATTACGGATTGGTTGTTAGGACAGAGAGGAGAAAGAGACCACCGCACCTGATCTGAGCGGCTCAGTTAATCAGACATTCAGATCTTCTAGTATCAAGGCTAACGCTGATTATGCACTCATTAATGAGAGACAGAGAGGACCGAAGAAGAGAGAAAGAGAGGGCAGCAGCTGTGCTGTGTGCTGAGAGCAATGTCACTGCTCCTGTCTGCTCTGCAGCCTCACTTCAAAGTCTCCAGAGTTCAATTAAATGTGGATTAAGGCTGTTGCGCCGCTCCGGTAACGGTGCCGTTCGCCACCGCAAACTCCCTGACAAGCAGCATGTGAGACGGCCCCGCTCTCCTATTTATCTTCCTCATCTCCGCTCTGTCAGGATGTTGGTATGGAAACCGAACCATTAATGTGAAATCCGACGCGCTACCTAACCGAGGTATCATGGAGAAGTTTGAGCATGGAGGAGTTTATTACGGCTGAGAGACCACGGATAGGCTCGTAAAGATAAGATCCCATCCGTGCCCAAGTGTATTCGAGGAACTTCATCTGAAGGCTCTGTCTGTTTGCATTGTGTATTAGCAGCTGCCATTGACCGGTAATGAAATTAACCCCATGTAAGCAGTGTTAATGCTGAGAGAGACTCCCAGCCTCCCACACACACACACCGCTTAACACAAGACAAGACAACACAGCACACACTTCACTAACAGATCATTACCCGCCATTCTGAAAATATAAACTGCTAGGCATGGGTTTTATGGGTGACTGCTAAGCCTTTGTTTCGAGGCTAAAGTCAAATCAGCCCACCCTCAAGTAGGGATGCACCAGTATTAAAATTCGAGCAAATACAGCTAATAATTATTTTCATGTTAATAACAACAACTGTCATACACTACTGTTCAAACGTTTGGGGTCAGTTAGATTTTATTTTATTATTAAGAATTTTTTTTTTTTTTTTAAAAACCCAGAAATCTGAATGGTAGTATATTACCAATATTAAAAATCTATACAATTTTGTTGAAAAGAAATACAAGTTGGATCAAATAGCAAGTAGTGACTTTAAAGGTTAAATTTTGCTGTAATCTTGTGCTACAATAAGTAAGTTTTAGATAATGGCAGTAGTAATAAAAAAATAACCAAAATGAGTGTAACAATTAAATATCCAACATTTGTGCATCACTATGAGAATGTACAAACTGTATAAAAAAAAACTCTGAAAGGGGCATCTGGAGATGAAATTCAGACCATAAAATCTTGCTGACTAAAAAGACGACCTTTCACCTGCGGTTCATTCCATCTCTATAGCAGAACTACTTCAGTAGTTCACACTTTATCTTCTCAAACCCTGAGGAATAAAGGAATGATGCAGTGCCTTAGCTTCACATGCTGTAGATGGATATGACTGTCTGTTATGTGTCTAATATCTTATTTTGTCTTCATGCACTTTGTAACTCGAACCTCACGTGCTACTAGTCTTGTAATGAATTCTCTAGGTTCGCTTGACTGTTGTCCGAAAATCTGTTATAGTGGATGTTTCTTTAAAAAAAGTCGCACAGTCTAAAATTTAATTGGACTGCCTTTGATTAATCTTTGATTACAATGTGCATTCATCATGGCATTGTTTCGACAACCTTATGTAACATCACCACATTTATTTCTATCTAGAGTTTCATTGATTTTTAGAAAAAAATCTTGTATTGAAAATGGGAGAGACGAAACACATCACGAAGGGTTAAAAGACTTGTTTTGTTATTTGTCACACAACATTCCAGAAACATATTAACCACTGCAATAATGATCCAGACCTAGACTCTCATTTGTGTATTTAAATCCAAACAGCATTGTAAATGGGAGAGAAGATGCAAAACTTGCTGTTTCTCATAGAATGTGAATAAATAAAAGCTGTAAAACAGATGATAAAATGATGACGAAGAAAAAAAACAACATTTAAAGCTGCTTTTAAAGACTTTTATTTAAATTTTTTTACAGATATAAACGATGCTTATTCCATTTGGTCAAATCTTGTTCTAAATTAAATGTTCTTTCATTCATGCCAAAACACCTAAAAACTAAAAGAAGCTTAATTTCAAGGCCATTTGTATGCGACACCAAACTGACAACAAAATAGGGCTGCACGATTATGACAAAAATCATAATTGTCGATTATTCCCTTGAAATTGTAATTGCGATTATTAATTATGATGATCACAATTTACATTTAATGATGTTTATACCATTGTTTGATGCAACTGCATGCCGTATTTTTATTAATGAAAATAAACAAGCTGAAAACACTCTAACTGAAAACCTTTTAGTGCTTTTCTATAGTATTAAGCCTCATATGTCAAATATACATCGGATTGGTTTCTTCTTTAAATTATAAAAAAGTAAATATATGAATGGTATTATAATGTTATACTAAAACTACAATTAAAATAATGGGAAAAATCCTTAAGACAACATGTAGAAAGAAAAAAAACGCATCTTAAGCAGCACGCAGAATAACATAAGTGGACTTTGAACGATTGTGGCATCCATAATTGTAATCGTGATTAGAAATTCGATTAATTACAACAAAAGGTTGAAGTCGAAATGGGAATGCATTCGTATGTGTGTGTCATTTCAAACCGCTCAACCTGTTAGGATGGAGAGGCAGCAAGTCATTTCTGAGTGCTGTCATTTGTCTCTGTCAGCCGGCGAAACGAGTCTGAGATGAAGAGGGACACATCTCTCTCTCTCTCTCACTCACACACACACACACACACACACACACACTCTGTCCTCTGCCAAAGGACCCTGTGTGCGCAAACGACATCCTCCGCGCGACACACACACTAGGGACCACCGCTACAGAGCATGTGCTCCGTCTCTGACAGAACTGAATGAAATCTAATTGAAAATACCCCCCTACCCCAAGCCAAAAAGACATGAAAGGGGGGTTAGCGGGAGAGAAAAAAAGCAAGAGATAGCAAGTGTGAGACAGAGAGCGAGTGAACTATCCAGCGCTCTCTCAGAAAGATAAATGAGTCTCTGAATAGCAGTCTCTGTTGGGCAAAGTGTGCACTTGTGTTTGAGCGGTGATAAGAGCGTTCGCAGCCAGGAAAAGGAAACGGCTTTCCTGCCACTGGTAGAATTCCATCCTCGCTTATAAAATGTGTAATAAACGAGTATTATAACACTCAGTTTGAAGCTTGGCAACCGATGGCGTAAAATGACACGGTGTGCGTGTGAGAGACAGAGAGTGTCTCTCAAATGCTGGGTTTTAATGCGCTTATGCATCTGCGGAGCAAAATGAGCTGATTGAAGTTCAATTTGTATGCTGTTATTAAGTGTTTCCACCTGGCTGAGTGTGTTAAAGATTGTGGATGGGACATTTATTATTACCTTTTGGTCAAATGAAGTGGCCTGGGCGATAAGGTAATGAAATTAATTAGGAGGAGGAAGTGGGTGATCCATCAACATCAACATTCAAAGCCAAGCGCACCCGAGACGCAATATTGGAAAACTTAATAGAATTCATGGGAATAAAAGGGAGGAGATATTAGAGAGAGACTGCTGTTTCTAACGCATCTGGCCTTGAAAATAACAAGCTAGCATGTGTGCGCACACAGCATCAAGCCTACATTAGTCATGGAACACAATCATATTCAGAAAATCACTTCAATGTAATTCTATGAGAGACCAAGTGCAACTGTAATACTCACAGATGCTGTCTAATGACGCCTTTCAAAATAAACTATTTTATCTCTAGGTTGTTGTTTAAAACATGAATAAAAGATGATGAAACTGTCACTAGTAGCTAAAATTTAGCTTTTTAATGTAATTTTCAAAAATTTTAGGTTGTGGGCAATTGTAACATTTGTTATAGAAGTTGCATGGACAAATTGAAAGATTGAATGTTTATAATATATAATGTTGATTATTTTATCAATC